ATCTCTGAACATCCTTGTGAGAATCCCAGCAATTCCTCATTTGGGAATATTATATTGGGAAAGGGTTTTTTGGTAACTGCTGTGTGACCAGTCACTACTTTGTGGACTGCAGTTTGTGAACAAATAGCATAATGAATGATCTTTTAGCTTTTCTGGTGAGCTACTGATTCTGTTTTTGTCTTAAAACATTTGTCTTTGTTGGGAATCCTGCGTTTTTTTGTTTTCTCTATCTTGTAGGTGTGTGTTTGCTGTTTTTATTACCATTATTTCTCCGCAGACCCCTTGTTTCCTGGTTGAATATTCCTATTGTAGTAGTATACCAATACATTACAGATTATAGTACTTCAATTTTGTTCCTGAAAGACTTCTAATGTGCTTTTGATTTGGGGACTGCAAAAGATCTTCTATCTTTTAAGGAAAATCAAAATCCTCAAGAGAAATGTATACATTTTAATTTTACGTACCTTTTTTTGCTATTTTATACAGGCTAATTTGAGAACTAAACTATATTCTCTTTCTTCAGAGGACTATGTTCTGTCCACATTTAGATCAGAAACCTGCTACTTACAGATACATTTTAAGTACAGTTATTGCTAATGTTTCCCTAAGTAGTGTGGTCAAAAGATTTGAAGATTCTATTGTATGGTTCTTAGCAATAAAAATTCCTGTTTTCACTGGTCAGAGAAACATGGTTGGAGCTACTGTGGCTCTTTGAGGACATGGCCAAAGTGCAAAGTTTTACTTTAGTGTCTACTTATTTTGATGCCAGCTTTTGGGCTTCTGAATGTGTAAGACACATTCACGTTATGAAAGCAAGTGACTTGGACTAAAGCATTTTAAAAATCTGATTATAACCTAGTTGCACTGTCTACACAAGTGGATCATACTTGCTAATAACATGTTTGGGCCACAGTTGAGCATAAGAGTTATTATAAATAACCTGCAAGGCTGGTGCCCTTTCTTGCTGCTTTACGATGGATAATCAAGGCCTGAAAAGTTTTTAATTTAATAATAACAACAACAAAAACATCTCCCCCACTCCTCTCCTTTTTTATCATTAGGAATTAAATTCTGTCCAGTCTTGAGGGAAGTATGATGGGGAAAGGGACTTTTAGTTAAGTTGTCTAAGAGTATGTCTACACTGCAAAGAGCCAACTCAGGCTCGCGGGGCTTGGGTACTGGGGCTGCTTCATTGTTGTGTAGACATACGAGTTTGGTCTGGAGCCCGGGCTCTAAAACCCTGAGCGGTAAGGAGGGTGTTGGAGTACAGGAGCCTACACAGCAATGAAACAATCCTGTAGCCCAAGCCCCGTGATCCCAAGTCAGTGGGCACAGGCCAGCCGTGAGTGTCTAGTTGCTGTGTAGACATATCCTAAAGGGATGTCTTCACTGCAGAGGTAGCTGAAGTGATCAGCACTTGTGTATGAGGACCCAGGTAAGCATAGCCTGGTGTGAGGAGCCACACTGCAAAGCCATACCCAAGTTAACGTGTCCTCAGTGGTGTGTGTTGCTAGGACTTCTGGGGGCACATCCCATTTTTTTTTTTTTTTTTGGTGGTACAGTAAATTGAATCAGTCTTTTTGATTCTTTTCCCAGTGAATTGTGGGAGAACTTTTCTGTCCTTCTGGGCATACAAGGGGAACTGGGGGAAGATATTAGATGACTCTCAGCAATTGAGTGATTTAGCTTGTGTTCTCGCTACAAAGTGACTGGGTTACCAGCCTGAGTGAAAGCAGCACCTGAGCTGTAGCTTATATCCTCACCAGTCAGGCCAGCTAGCCTGGGTTTAAAGCATCACTAAACTCAGGTGAGAGAGTTGTGTGGCTGGGAGGGAGGTTAGGGGCAACACCCAAGTAAGAGCCAAAGTTAACTGTGCAGTAAAGATATAGCCTTAAAACTCTGGTTTTGTGTTTTTATTTAATTTCAGTGACTTACTTTATAATTTTGGGTAAGTCTTTGCTAAATATTCCACTCCTTTGCTTTCCAGTCACGATGTGAGAGTTCACACATATGTCCTTGAGTCTTCTGAAAGGCCCACTAGCGAAACCAGAGTATATTATCTAACAAGACATCAGCATTTCAAACAATATAAAGCAGGAAAAAAGGGAGAGAACAGCCTTCTGGATTTTCTCCATACAGCATAAAAGAAGAAAAAGTTATAAGCTCAATTTTTAAAAATATTGTTCATCACCTTTAAACTCTGTCGTCTTCATAGTGAAGAGAGGCTGTAACAGTGTCAAGCCATAGGATTTGAAGGGAGGGAATGTTTCGTATTCATTACTGTCTTGATTTACTCTACGTCTAGGGTTACCATCTTTCAGGTTCCCAAAAAGAGGACGCTGTCGGGGGGTGGGGGAGTGGGAAGGGGGAGCTGGAGGAGAAGGTACAGTTGGAGGGGTGTCTACTGGGAGTGGGTATTTGGGCGGTATGGGAAGGGTGTGTGTCCTGGGAGGGGCATTTGGTGGGTGCTGGAGGGGTGTGTGTACGGGAGGGGGTATTTGGAGGTGCAGGGCGTATTTGGGGGGTGCTGGAGGGGTCGGTGTATTGGAAGGGGGTTTGGAGGGTACAGGAGGGGGTATTTGGGGTGTGGGTACTGGGAGCGGTACCTGGGGGTGTTGGAGCGGGTACTTGCAGCCTCAGTCTCGAGTTGGGGGGCAGTGGTGCTTCCTGTCACACACAGGCAGGGCGACTGGTGCAGGCCTTGGAAACAGCTCCAGTTGTCCATCAGTGCCTCTTTGCCTCTTCCCCTTTCCAGGGCTGGGAGCCAGGGCTTGAGTGGGTGGGAGCGGGTGGCTGCAGTGCAGGGATTAATCCGGATCTTGAGCCAGCTCTTTCTGAGCTGCAGCGTCTGCTTCGCAAAAATCCTGGACATTTCCTCTTACTCGAAAAATCTGCCCAGACAGAAGGCGGAGGAGGATCAAACAAGAGGAAATGTTCAGGAAAACCCAGATGTATGGTAACCCTACATAGAGCTCTTTTGGTAGAATTGTTTAATCTGTGCAGTCCAAAATGGGATTATAGGGGATATGACCCTGTTTCAAATCACAGGGGTTCATAAAATTATACTTGGGTAGTTTGGGGCTGGAGTCTGGTTGGAGGGGATGAGCAGGGAAGAGAAGTGACTTATCTGAATCACTTTAACTAAATCAGCCAAGCCAAAGCCCTTTGAAGCCACATCTACACTGAGGGGAAGGTGTATTTTTAATGTGTTAGGTAAAACATGTTAACCACGTGTTAAGACTACAGTTTGCCTGGTCTATACTAGGATTTTAACAGGTTAGCTGGTCAAGAATAAAACTCTAAGGGGTGTTAGCCAACACCTTAAAAACACAATTTTCCTAGTGAAGACAAGGCCTTAGTGTGGCCCAGCTCTGATGTCCTTCAGCAGTTGGTCTCAAAAAGGTTAGTGATTCTTCTAAATGGTTTAGAAAAATTGTTCTCACTTTCCCCACTTGCTTCCTTGTCTTCTTTAATAGAGTCAGATTCATAGAGTCCCAGAAGGGACCACCAGATAGATCATCTAGTCTGACCTCCTGTATATTACTAAACCCCACCCGGTTATGCCTATATTGAGCACAATAACCTGGATTAGAATAAAGTATTATAGAATAAAATATTGTGTGCCACAGGCAGAGAACAGGAGGGACTGAGGTGCACTAAAGCCCCTGCAATGACAGGGAGTTGATTTGTTGAGGTATGCCGAGGTGATCCTAGCAAGTACCCAGCTCACCATGTTGCAGAGGAAAGTGAAAAATCCTCCAAGATCCCTGCCAATATGACCTTATGAAAAATTTCTTTCTGATCCCGAATATAGCAATCAGTTTGACTGAGCATCTGAAAGAGAATTCTCTTTTCTGTCTAAGAGCAGAGGCTCATCCTGTCTGGTGCCCCATCTCCAGATGTGACCATCTCTGATGTTTTAAAGTAAGGGGGGGGGGAACAACCCCCCTAAAATGCATTTGTGTGGGAGTGGGGGGGGACAGATTCTTTCCTGACCCTTGCAAGTAACTGGCTAAAGCCCTAAACATGAGATTTAGGAATATAAGACCCAGGACTGGAACTCCCTTGGCCACTGAGTCCAGTCCCCCACCAGCACAGGCAACTCAGTTATACAATCGCACTGATACTCTAGGCCATCCAAATTCTTCTTGTACAATATTGTGATCCTCCTGTATTGACAATGCCTTCCAACTTTGTGTCATCAGCAAGTTTCATTAACAGGCTCCCACTTTTTGTAATAACCTCATTAATAAAACTGTTAAATAAGATCAGTCCCAAAACTAGACCTTGAGGAACTCCACTAGTAACCGCCCTCCAGCCCAATAGTTCTCCCTTAGGCACAACTTGTCTTTTACAATTCTTGTACTAATCCTCATCTGCTCCAGTTTAACTAATTATATCCCGTGTCCCATGTGGGACTGTATCAAAAGCTTTAATGAAGTCCAGATAGATTAGATCTACTGCATTTCTGTCTAAAAAAATCAGGTCTTTTCAAAGAAAGATATCAAGTTAGTTTGGCATGATCTACCTTTGGTAAACCCGTGTTGCATTTCATCCCATTTTCCATTTACATCCAGGTATTGAATTTATTCTTTTAGTTAGTTGCTTGCTGCAGTCAAGGGAAATAGCTTAGCAGATGTTGAAGATGTTGGCAAGGGGTTTTCCCTGACTTTTTTACATGATTTTCCTGCTCTGCTCACACAGTTTATCCAAGAAATATCTTGTGTACATTTTTGTTACTGTATCAAGTGTGTCAGGTCTGTAGATACTCAGGGTCTCTCCCCACCTTTTTAATTATAATAACAGTTATCCAGTCATCTTGATATCTGTGCGTGTGAGAGGGAAAGTGACTTTGGATTTTGATCCTTACAACTTGGGGCAAGATAAAATACTTCCATGTGTATAAACTCCTCACTTGGTGCTTTGCTGGTATGTCGTCAGATAGTTACAGGGTCCTAAGCAGGATGATGGCTCTAAGATTCTTATTTGTTATTTTGCAGGTTTGTTTTAAATCAGACCTCGCAGCTTGATACAAATAAAACAGACAAAGGTAAGTAGAAAACCAGCTTATAAAAATGGTATGTAGCAAATCTTTTATCTGTTAACACCTATTTTTAAATAACCAGAAACGCTGGTTTACAGAAATTGGAATAAATTAATCAGTTAATGTTTACTTGTTTGTAATAGCTTATTTTTCCTCTTCTGAGATCTAAAAAAATGAAATTCTTGTGCTGTTTTGTGTTGACTGTGTATTTAACATTATGATGACAAATCTGTCAAATGATCCTCAGCCGAGAAAGTAACCTGCACTTGTGCTAGCTGTGGAGAACCAAAAACAGTGAAGGCTTCATTCATGTGAATTTCTATCCACAAATTGTCCATGTGATTATTAAAGGTTGACAGTGTAGTTTGCTGTGCTGCAGAAGTATTGTTTAGATTTATATTTCAGATTCAATTCAGTTCATAGCTCGCTTAACTGGTACAAAGAAAATTTGAGTGGCCCCCAGAACATTTAACGTTTTACAAAATGAAATACCAGAGGACATCAGGTTTACTTATATTCTTTGGTTTTCCTGTCCTCAGGAACTGTATCAGATGGCATGAGACTGACTGACAAGCTAGTAAAGACATTAGTATAAAGCATTGATATTCTTCAGAGTATTACATGGGCATTCTCAGGTAACTGCAAAATATATGTTCTCGAGGAGAATTGTTTTTTTCACTGCAGCATTGCCAAAAAGGAACAATTCACAATAAATATTTTCAGATCAAGGAAATTCTAACTAAAGCTGGATTCTAGGCCTCTCTTTATTGCTTGATATTCTGTTTCTGGAGGATTTCAGACTATTTCTGTAGTCAGAAAACCTCTCTTTCTCTTCTATTTCCCATTAAAGTTTGTTAAGCAAATCTAACTTCGAAGAACAAATAATTCACGTAGATCTTTTTAAAACCTCTTTTGATTATCGGTGGGCATTCCTTTATACATTTTTAGGTGTGTAGGAGTTTGCAATCGAAGGTGTCCTCACCAGCATTAAGTTCTTGCTAGGGTGTTGTCCTGGCTTCTGAAACTGACCGATGGCCTCATATGAAATCTTGCAGGGTGCAGGAGGGAATTAAGGGACCAAACAGGTGAGTCTCTAAGGCAGCGGGGTTGAGTACTAGGAGTTTGGCCAAGACTCATGTAAGAGAAGCTTTTTTTTTTCCTAAGGCATGACCAGGGCCATTTGTATTCTGAAACGTGCTGGAATGAAATGCTGCTTCAAAGTGAACCCTTTCTGACTATGCAGCAAGTGGGAAATCCCATGGTAAAATAAAGCATGCAAACAGGTTGATTTTTTTTTTTTTAAACTAAAGATAACTCCTGGGCCAAACGAGTCAAGTGTGCTGCATGATTTTGAACAAATTGACATGGCTTGGGAGGAATTGGGGAGACAGGTGGAGATAACACTGCAGAAGATAGAGTACAAAAAGGTTTGGGGGGTCTGTCAAGAATAATGTTTGTAGATATCTATGCTGTTCAAAAGATATCTACGTATATTGGTGACTTAAGAAACATGGGTCACTAGTCAATAATAGGTTCCATTACCAAAAATTAGCCATGCATTCAACTGTCCCACATTATTAGGGACATCACTCCATTTTAGACCTAAATATGCCTACAGTCTATAGAGATCCATTTGTTATAAACACAGATTTATAAAGTCAAGATTATAGAAAATGTTCTCTGTGGTAATGAAATTAAATTTGAGCCTCTATAATTTTAAGCTCTCTGTATTACTACTTGGCCTACTAAAGCATGGCAGCTTTAGTTAAGGACCCCTTTCTCAAGGAACTTTCTGTGCTTGAAACCTGGTCATGATGGCATTGTATGTACAGAAACTTCCTCACTTATCTGATTATTTAGGCTCTACATCCCATTTTCTGCTTGCTGTTCAACTAACATGTAATCTTTGAACCAAATAATGGGTAGCTTGCTATTTTGGATGGGATTGGTTTACACATATTGAACTTGCTTTGTTTCTCTGATCTGTGATTAATATGTAGACCTAAAATGAGTTAAAATTGCTTTAAAAATAAATTGAAATGTACATTTTAAAATAGAATTGAGCTGCTTTGTCTCTTCACCTCTTTTGTCCTAATATTCTGAAAGAGCCACAGGTATGGACCTAACAGCACTGTTTGTAGGAGAATGCTTCCTGGGAATTTGAAATGTCAATTTGTCTACTGGGTTAGGTTTGTGTACTGGAGTAGGTAACTCTGGGCTGAATAGTGTGATCTTCTGTTGTTTGGAGGAAACAGTATAAACAGACGGGTTATTGTATCATGTTGATATTTAGCTAGAGAAGAATGTTTCCAATATCTTAGTGGCATGTATATGTTTAACACTGAAACTGATGACAGTTTCAAGCTGGACTTTGAAAAGTAGAGCAGTCGGAACTCTGCAAAACTATGCCCACAAAGTTTTTTTCATCTTTACCCCCCCAGATTGAGTTTATAATAGAAGAACCATGGATGGGGAGACGATTTTTGTTGGGCCATGGATAGTGTCTATTTAAGTCTTTTAGGCCCCTTGTTACCTGTAACATTCGTGCCTGATAATGATTATCCTAATTGCTTTTTTCCTGATTTACAGGGTAGATACAGTGTATTAATAGCTTAAATGTGGGGGGAGATTTTTCTTTTCTTTTTAGATAGACTGGTTCAGCGATATTTTCAGTACGGAGAGCACAATCAATCAAAGCATTCAGAATCCTCTCTGGCTCCTAGCAAATTTGTTGAAAAGTCTGAAGTAGTGAGCTCTGACCTTCACCTGCACTGTACAGAGTTGTGCTTTCTGGATGAAAGCTTCCTGCAGGCCTGTAATCTTAGAGAAGGAAGGCATCTAGATTCCAGTGCCTTTTTTTTTTTCTCTCAGGGTGATCTGAGTGATGATGTCATTTGGCTTCAGAAAGCTCTATGGTTGAATAATATCAGAATTTTATTTGAACACACTTAACTGCATTAATCAGCTGGGATTATGGGACACCTCACATGGTCCCGGGAGAAGGGATGACATACATTAGGAAATTACATGCGAAATTTTAGCAGCTGGCAAAAAACATCTGGTCCGGATGCTTGTCTGCTTTGTTTGGCTTATTTTAATTTCACTCTACTTTTTTCACACTACTTCTCAAATCCCCCTCTTTTCCAGAAACACATTTAAATTTATTAGAATCACTTATGTACTTAATATTTCCGTGTGTGTGTGTGTGTTTTAATCTGAAATGGGGATGTTGGAGCCTTCTTTTCCTAGTATCCAAACTATTATAGATTGTCTCCAAGCCTTTGATCTCTATACCATTGTGAAGAATGTTCCCTCTCAACTTTACTACTCAGTTTCATGTATTTGAAAACCTACTGGATCACCTCCAAATTTTTTCTTTCTATTGAAAGTAAGTCCAAACACTTTAATTTTTCTTCAGACTTATATTCTTGACACCTGATATCAGCTTCGTTTTCTCTATTGTGCTCCCTCTCCAAGGCAACAATACCTTTCCCTTTAGTATGGTGACCTACGTTGCACATAGTACCTACGCTTCCCAACATCATCAAAACACTCTATAAAGTATTTTCACAACACTCTGTGAGGTAAATACGTCTGTTATTTCATATATAGGAAAGCTGTGCCCAAGGCTACATAGCTAGTCAAAAGCAGAATGAAGCAGTAGTTCTTTGAGTGATTGTCCACATTAATTCTACTTCTGATGCATGTACATCCCATGTGTAGGAGGCTATATTTTTTTTGGACAGCAGAGTCTGTTGGGTCTCTGCCTGCACCCTGGATGTCCTTGTGTCCACCCACCTGATGGCATAAAAGGCAGAGCAGGTGCAGCCATCCCTTGGTTCTGTCTTACTGCCCGTGGCACCAAGAGAAACCCCTGCAGTGTCCTCTTACTATATATACTGTGTAATTATTTGTTAGGCTAGTTAATTATAATTGATAGGTGTTTCATAAAGACGAATTGACTCTTAGGCATTATCTAAATCAGTTGTTTCAGTTCCTGGTTTTCTTCCTGAAGCTCCACTCAAAGTAGGGGAAAGCCAACCACATACCCTGAGACTCTGAAATACTCCCTGGACAGGAAAAAACCATTCAAGAGCTCTCCCAGATTTGTTTTTAGCCTCTGCAGACAAGGTTACGTGTCAAGCCATATCCAATCAAAGGTTGTCTATATGAGCATCCAACTGAATTAAATCCTGTTACGAGGTAGCTAAATTAAATCCATCCAGGCAGATTAGGACCCTTTCCATCTGGGCTCACGCAGATTCTGTGACTTCTCCAAGCAGCATCCCTATTTCAGAAATGTGTAAGGTGGCTGTGTGGGGATCAGTCTACACTTTTACTAGCACTACTCCTTAGCTGAGGCTTCAGGATCAGATGCCCACATTGGTAGAGCTGTGCTACAGTCCTTTTTGAAGTAGGATGTATAGTTACCCAACTGTAACTATGAGATCACTGCTTTAACAACCAGAAATGGAATCCATGTGGACAGTCACCTGAAGATGAAAGAATGGTTGCTTGCCTTCAGTAACTGCGGTTCTGTGAGATTATTTATTAATTTGTATTACCATGGTATTTAGGAACACCAGTCATGGACCAGGACTCCATCCTTCTAGGAGCTGTACAAACACAGAACAAATAGTCTCTGCCCCAAAGAGGTTACTATTCAAGCATGAGACAAAAGACAGATATAGACAGATGGGAGTACAAGGAAACAATGAGACAGTATTGGTCAGTGTGATAGCCAGTGATTTCAGCATACTGGTGGCCTAACCATTGTCAAGTATTTTGTAGGCCTTGTGGCAAAAGGAGGGATTTGAAGGAAGATAATGAGGTAGTTTTCTGGATGTTTACGGAGAGCTCTTTCAAAGTGTGACTGGGCAGCATGGGAGAAAACGCAAAGGTGCTTGTTTGAAAATGCAATAAGTGGGCTGTGGAGGGTAGCATCAGAGGCGGGGGTTCATGTTGTGATAATGAATAAGATAATAGGCAGTGTAAGGGTGGGCGGTAAAGGGCCTAGAAGGTGAAGATAAGCAGCCTATGTTTGATGCGATATAAAAGGGGGAACTAGTGAAGAGATTCAAAGAGGGAGTGACATGGTCAAAGTGATGGGTTTAGAGAATGATCTTTGCAGTAGCATTCTGAATGGATCTGAGCAGGGCAAGGCTGTATTTTTCAAGGCCTCAGAAAACATGTAGTAAGATTACAAGAGACTGAACAAGAGTTCTAGCTGTTTGGATGGAGAGAAAAGGCTGTATCATTGTGTTGGGAGCCTCGGAGAGGCCAGCAGTCTTGGTATCCCCTCTGATCCTGGAGACTTTGGGGGGCAGGACCCCGCAGGCCCAGGAGGAACCAGGGAACAAGCTCCTGGACCACCAGTGGACATGGAGGTTCCCGCAGCACCAGCATCGTCCTCATCGTCGCCAGATGAGGCTTTCACGGGCCCCCTCATCCAGTTCCTCAGGATGACGCCAAGATGCACCAGGAAATCTTGAAGAGGGTCACTTCTAACCTCAGGCTTTAGGCAGAGGAATTGGAAGAGCCCGCAGATTCCCTGTTTGATGTCCTCTGTTCCTTCGCTCCTGCCAGGGTGGCTCTACCCCTTGATGAAGGGGTTTCTAAGATCACTAATGCCCTGTGGCAGAGCCCCTCTTCCCTGGCCCCTATCTCTAAAAGGGCCGAACGCAAGTACTGCATGCCAACCAAAGGGCATGAGTATTTATACTCCCACCCAGCCCCTAATTCCCTTGTGGTAGAGGTGGTTAACCACAAGGAGAGGCAGACACAACCCGGGGCCACCCCCAAAAATAAAGGCTCGAGGAGGCTCGATCTTTTCAGGCGAAAGGTTTGTTAGTCTTCCAGCCTTCAGCTGAGAGTGGCCAACCACCAAGCCCTCCTTGGCCGATATGACTTCAATATGTGTCAAGCCATGGCCAAGTTTGAAAGGTTGCTCCCTGAGGCTTCCAAAAAGGAATTCAGAGCGATCCTTGATGAGGGCACGACTGCAGCCAGGGCAGCCTTCCAGGCAGTGGCAGACGCTGCTGCCCGCACCAGGGCTTCTGCTATCTCCATGCAGCAAGCCTCTTGG